TGGGCAATTGATAAAACTAGAATAGTGAAGCGAATAGTGCGAATAGTCGACGAATAGTACGAATAGTCGAATAGTCGACGAATAGTGCGAATAGTCGCGAATAGTCGACGAATAGTACGAATAGTCGACGAATAGTGCAATAGAGACTTTGCAAGGCTTTCCACCGTGCTGTAGAACTAAATTTACCGGGGCGGGGGGGGGGGAGGCTCTATTGACAAACATGAAATCGTGAAAACATTCGTTGATGTCAATGACGTCATACGTAATCGGTAAAAATTACGGGACCACTGAGTTTTAACAAATATTTAACCAATCACATTGCCGAAATTTGGTTTTCGCTTCGGGCGAACAAATTCGCCCAAAAACGGGCTTAAATAATAAATCGATACCTTCTCTTGTTTCGTGATGTAAATCACGTTTTCCAAGCACACGAAATCACTTAAGCCCTTAAATCTTCAGTTACAACGTCACAACTTACAAGTAAAATTCCTATAAAATTCAGTAAAATTCATGACTCATATGGTTACCACTTACCATCAGGAATGATTATAAATTTAAAAAATATGAAATATATTTCCTGACGATGACTGAATTTTAATCGAAAGCTAGAATATTAAAATGTTTATTTCGAAGTTACCGTTGTTTTATATTTTATTAAAATACTCAGTGGTTCCCGTAATTTTTACCGGTTACGTATGACGTCATTGACGTACGTCAACGAATGTTTTCACGATTTCATGTTTGTCAATAGAGCCCCCCCCCGGTAAATTTAGTTCTACAGCACTGCTGCAAAGCCTTGCAAAGTCTCTATTGCACTATTCGTCGACTATTCGTACTATTCGTCGACTATTCGCGGACTATTCGTACTATTCGTCGACTATTCGCGGACTATTCGTACTATTCGTCGACTATTCGCACTATTCGCACTATTCGCTTCACTATTCTAGTTTTATCAATTGCCTAGGAAAAATGGTTGGGAATTCTGTAATTTTATTGTTCTTGTGATTTACCACTACTCTCTGTGTTTTCATATGGTTTTAAAAGCTGCTTATGGTGTCATGCAAAACCCTTACTGTGCACTTATATTGATTTAGTACTACAGACTTCATACGTCCACGACTAATGCCGAGGTAAAAATTCAGGAATACAACATATACAGACTTGATCGTAAGCACAAAAAGGGTGGCGGCGTAAGTATTTACGTCCGTAATGACTTCAAAACAAAAGTTTTGTAGTATCTCTCGTATATTTCTCCAGTAGGTTTCCATCAACTTTGGTTACAAGTGCAAGTGAATAAAAACAAATCTATGATTGTTTGCGTTACTTATAGACCACCTGACTGCCCGGTTACATGTATACGGGATGAACTTAAACCTAAATTCATTGAGGCTTTGTTACTGGGAAAAGAGATCATTATTTTGGGCGATATGAATTGCAATCTCCTTAAAACATCTTGTTATGAGTCTAAAATATTATTAGATACTTGCTCCGAACTACACCTGACACAACTTATTAAAGATCCAACGAGAATTACATCTCAAACAAGTTCATTACTTGACGTTATTATGATTTCGTCCTCCTCTAAAGTTAAAAGTAGCGGGGTTGTTGACATTGGTATTAGCGATCATTCTATGATATACTGTATACTTAAACTTAGAGCTGATAAGCCTCGACCTGAATACAAGGATGTGAGGAGTTTTAAGAACTACAACTCCCAGAGTTTCAAGGCAGAACTGTCTCAACTTCCGTTTCATGAAACCTATCGCATTAGTGATGTAAATGCGAAAATTGATCATTTCAATCAATTGTTCATAAATACTCTGAACAAACACGCGCCTATCAAACACATCAGAATTAAAGGCAGACTTAATCAGTTTATTAATAAAGAATTAAAGTGCACGATGAAACTGAGAGACAAAAAGCTGAGAATTTTTCGCCTCTCACGTAACGCGGAAGATTGGGACGTCTATAGGCAACTTAGGAATTCTATAAAAACATCTTTAAGAGCAGCAGAGTCCAACTTTGTCCGGAATCAAATTGAGGAATATAAAGGTAATTCAAGATCTATGTGGAAAGTGATTAGGGGGTGTCTGCCAAGCAAAGATTCAGAAAAACCCGTTTACCAGAAAGACCACAAAAAATTAGCCAATGAATTTAATGAATATTTTGCTTCTGTGGGGAAGATTGCAGCCGACAAGGTCAAGAGACTTGCGGAAGCTAACAACATTCAGATGACAACTGCTTTACCACCTGCAAGACACCGATCTTCTCTTGATCTGTTTGAATTTAGAACAGTCACACCTGATGAAGTTAGAACAATTATTTTAAATAGTCCATCAAACAAAGCTCCAGGTGCCGATAAGATAAATATTCAATTCATTAAAGATTCACTTGAAGTGATTTTAGATCCTGTTACGGATATTATCAACTGTTCCTTGATGACGTCAACATATCCTTCAATGTGGAAGATAGCAGAAGTGGTACCGCTACACAAGGAAGGGGATCCTGAAATTGCTTCAAATAATCGACCGATTTCACTGCTGTCATGTTTGTCAAAAATATGCGACAAAGTCGCACTGAATCAGTATACAGAACATCTAACAAACCACAGATTATATTAACGGAGCATCAAAGTGGTAATCGGAAAAAACATTCTACCGAAACACTTAACATTGCAGTGACAGACATGTTGTTGGATGCTATGGATAATAAACAGTTATCTATAGTGACATTGTTGGATATGTCGAAAGCCTTCGATAGTGTTGATCACAACATGCTTCTTCAAAGAATTCTAAACCTAGGCGTATCTTCTGCAGTGCATAAGTGGTTTGAAAGTTACTTGACGTCTGACAGATGGCAGTATGTTAGAATTGGAACTACCTCTTCGGCGCCTGTTGCATTGTCGTACGGAATTCCTCAAGGCTCTGTTCTATCGCCGTTTTTATTTAATATATACACAGATAGTGTCGGGAAAAAGGTTGACATTAATAATTAGTGGTTAAATTTAGAGATGAGGTGACTGCCATATATGGAATTGAGTGACAGGCATGAGATAAAAGGAATGTTAATTGTTATTGCATGGGGAATATATGTAACTGGGAGCGATTTGGGAAGGGATTATAATACAAAACACAAGATAAACGCGTAATTTTGCTCTTATTGTGGGGATCGAACGAAAATCTACCACAAAGGGCACCTCCAGACGGGATTAACTCAATAAACGGGATATTGTGACAAAAGTAAAACGGGATATTTTACACAACAATCGAGTTAGAGCAAAATTACGTGGTATATGTAAACAAATACAGAGATCGAGATGTTAACACGGCAATCGCGAAATGACGTCGAAGCACAAGGAGAACAAACCATCGCACAAAACGACATCGAGTCAACAGAAGCCAATTTCAAATCGTTGTTGAGAAAGCTCGCTTATTTTAACCGATCTACGGCTGATGCTCTAGAAAGTGAGTACGGAAGTGACAAAATAAACAGACAATATACTTTGCTTAAAACCAAACTGGACGAAGCGTACGATTTAATACAAACTATACAAGGTTTAAAGTTAGATTCCGACGAGAGCGACGACGCAATCGATCAATGGACTCAGGAAAGGAAATTACAAGTGCAACCCTATGAAAATGCGGTCGAAAAGCTCGACGAAAGGCTAAAACATGACGAAAGTATGGATCAAAAGATTTGCTGTCAATTGTCGAAGAAGTAAAAGAATTAGCGGACCACTAACGACTGAAGAGACTGAGGAACAATTGAAATTTCTGATTAAACGAGCTCAAGAGGACGGTGAAAATTCTGTTCAGTTCAAGGAACATTCTCAACGATTGAATCTCCAGAAAAATGAAGAAGGCATTTACGTGTGTAAGGGGAGAATTCAAGGGTTTTATCCAATTTACTTGCCATCAAATCACCTCCTATCTCTGAAGATTGTCGAACGTGCACATCTTTGCACTCTGCACGGCGGGGTTGGGTTAACCATGAGTAAAGTACGCGACGATTATTGGATCCCTGCATTGCGAAGTCTAGCGAAGAAAGTCATTGGTAAATGCTATGGGTGTAAACGATTTTACACAACGCCGATGCCCGGTCCACCTCAGGGGAATCTTCCAAAAGAACGAACTGAAGGTGAAATCCCCTTCGAAGTAACTGGTGTCGATTATGCCGGACCAATCTATTACAAGGGAAATGGGGGGTGAGCGTAAGTCATATATACTCATCTATACCTGCAGTTTAACTAGAGGACTTCACTTGGAGATTCTGCCAAACATGAGCTGTGAAGAGTTCCTGATGAGTTTTAAAAGATTTATCGCAGCAAGAGGTCGTCCGAAGAAGATCATATCCGATAATGGAAAGACTTTCGTGGCTGCTGCCAAATGGATCAAGAAAGTCGTACGGAACGAAAAGTTACAAGGCTATCTGAGTGAACATGGTGTGAAATGGCAGTTCAATCTAAGCAAAGCTAGCTGGTGGGGTGGAATGTTCGAGCGAATGGTCAGCATAGTGAAACAAGCTCTTTACAAGGTCGTAGGATCGGCCAAACTTACCTTCAAAGAATTGCAAGACGTGATGCTAGATATCCAGCTCGTATTGAACAATCGACCACTATCGTACTGCGAGGATGACATTCAACTTCCCGTGTTGACGCCGAACATGATGATCTTCGGTAAAGCCAATTATCTTATGGAGTTATCACCTGAGGATATAGAAGAACGAAACCTGCGAAAGAGGGCGAGATATTTGAAGAAATGTAAGGACGCGTTATGGCAACGATGGAAACGAGAATACATGAGAGCACTTCGCGAAAGGCATAATTTAACACATGACGGGAAAGGGCTACGAAAGGGTGATGTTATGTTAATCAAAGGTAATGAAAAGAATCGTAGACTGTGGAAAATTGGGATTGTTGAACAACTTATACCCGGAAGAGACGGAGTGGTTCGTGGAGTTAGACTACGTGCAGGAAAATCATTCATGGAAAGACCAATACAATTTCTTTACCCTTTGGAATTGCATTGTGATAGAGAAAGTAATCAAGAAACTGTTCCATTGAATCCTGTTGCAAAGGAGTTCAAACCGAAGCGTAGAGCGGCTGTCGATGCAAGGAAGAACATTGAACTAATTTATGATCAGGAAGAGGAAGAACTGTGATGGGTAGAGACGGTGAATACGTGTAGACGTTCGTGTGTATATAAGACAGATAAGTTATATTTAAAACTTACGTTCTAAATAGGGGGAGTGTGTCGGGAAAAAGGTTGACATTAATAATTAGTGGTTAAATTTAGAGATGAGGTGACTGCCACATATGGAATTGAGTGACAGGCATGAGATAAAAGGAATGTTAATTGTTATTGCATGGGGAATATATGTAACTGGGAGCGATTTGGGAAGGGATTATAATACAAAACACAAAATAAACGCGTAATTTTGCTCTTATTGTGGGGATCGAACGAAAATCTACCACAATAGTTTGTCTTCAGTTCCCAAGAGTTGTAGTCTTGAATCATTGTCGCATATGGAACACTCGTTACTGCATATAGAAGAGGATCTACACAGAATTTTTGAATGGTGTTGCAATAACAGTCTTCTTGTAAACCCAGAAAAGACCAAAATGTTGGTGGTTGGTACACGACAACTCATGAATCAATTGGAATCTCCCGTTTATATTAATTTTATGGGAGAAAATCTTGCACCTGTGACAGAGGTTAAGGATTTGGGTATGCTTTTGGACTCCCATCTAACGTACGACAAACATATACAAGCATTGTCCTCATCGTGTATCTCAAAATTGCGTCAGATTGGTCGCGTGAAACACAACTTTGATCAGTCAACACTAGTTACAATCATCGATACATTAGTCATGAGTAAAATTAATTATTGTTCAACAGTATGGTCTAATACGTCAGATGGCAACATAAAAAAGATCCAATTAATCCAAAATTGCGCAGCCCGATTAATTACAGGGGTACATAAGTATGATCATATATCACCAACATTAAACGCGTTAGGATGGTTGTCAATCAAAGAACATCTATTGTACAGAGATGCGTTATTGACATTTAAATGTATGAATGACAAAGCTCCACAGTATTTATGTGATAATTTTGAACCACGAAACAGAACTCATAACCGAGATACTAGAAGAAATGGAGACCTGGATATTCCAAAATATAGGACATCGATCGGTCAAAGATCGTTCAAATACCGAGGGACTAAGATATGGAATGGTCTAGATACAGAGCTGAAATCAATTAGTGATTTGAACAATTTTAAGACGAAACTTAAGACAATTCTTATTGAGAAGCGATGTCCTTCTTTTTAACTTTTTTAATTCATAAACTATAATATATAGTATAATTTTAGTTCATGTAATAACTTTGATACGATTGTTGTAAATATATATAGTCGATAACTTATATTTTTTTTCTAAAATCCATGTAAATTGTCATTGAAAAGCCCATTTTAGGGAATGTCAATTAATAAATTCAAATTCAAATTCAAAATATAAGCAAATTTTCCCTGACAAACTTTGAGTGATGTATATTCTTGCCAGGTTCTTGTAGCAGTTATTTATAATTTCATACTGTGTAGTTATATTAAATGTCACTTCTACAACAGGCAAACTGAAAAATTGCTTTGCTAGGCCAAAGATATCAAGTTCAAACCATTCAAATGATTCAATACCCATTGCAATCAAGCAATATCCATAAACCTCTGAATGTTCTCGTAACTAGAACCGTCATGATTAATCATCGAATAAAACAAATGAATTTTTAGGATTTAATATACAAAGAAAACTATAAAATGTTTTATGTATTTTCTACATGTTTTTCTTGTCACCATGACAACCGTCCTCTCTCGCCAGTCTTTTTGCTCGGTCAAATTTATATTACGTCATAACTTTAAGTTAATATATTCAGAAACATCCCCCTCCCGAATGTGCTAACATTTGTCATCATAAGACAATTTTTAACGTCAAACATAATCTAAACAATTCCTGTCCAGTCTAGTCTTCAGCTCCCTCGACTTCTAATGGGCTCAAGTGGTGTACCGGTCGTAGATAAGTACTATCACCAATCTGTATTTTCACGACTCTTACCAATCCGTCTTTGCCAGGATGTGCTTCCACTACGCGAGCAAGAGGCCACTCTCCACGCTTAGCATTTGGTTCTATAAGGAGTACTACATCACCTTCTTTTAAATTTTTTCTCTTCTGAAACCACTTTCCTCGAGCACTCAAACTTGGTAAAAATTCCCTTCTCCATCTTCTCCAAAACTGACCAAGTAACTGCTGAATTCTACGCCATCGCTTCTTCGGGTTCACCGTTTCATTTTCAGGTACTTCAGGTGCGAGGTCTCCTCCTAACTGCCCAACCAGGAAATGACTCGGTGTTAAAGGTGCCAAGTCATTAACATCAGAACTGACATACGTTATTGGTCTAGAGTTTAACAACCGTTCAGCACCGCAAATTGCAGTATGTAATTCTTCATCATTAACTTCTGCATCTCCGAGAATTGTTCTTAAAGCCTTTTTGGAACTTTTGATCATGGACTCGAAGATACCCCCAAAGTGTGGTGACGCAGGTGGATTAAACTTCCACTCAATTGGTTTCATTCTTGATGTTTCGTTGATTATCTTCTCTTGGTCAAACTGAGAAACTAACTCACGTATCTCTTTCTCGCCAGACACGAAATTTCCACCGTTGTCAGACACCACATAAGATGGCATCCCCCTCCTTGATGTCATCCGTGTGAAGGCATTTAAGAATGAATCAGTGTCTAAGGAATAGCTCATTTCCAAGTGAACCGCTCTTGTTGCCAAACACGTGAAAAGGCATAGATACCTCTTCGCTCTCGGTTTTCCTCTTCCTTGTTTTGTGCGAAACGGCCCAGCGTAATCCACTCCAATTCTGTCGAATGCCTTTAATGGCAATTTTACTCTTACTCCCGGGAGTGGTGCCATCATTTGCCCAGGTTGCTTCGTAGCAAATCGTCGCCGACAGCCAGGGCAGGTCTCAACCACGTTTCTAACAGCTCGTCTTCCTTTTATCACCCAATACTTTGAACGTAACTCCGTAAGTAGATGTTCCACACCCGTTCCATGACCACGTTTTTTATGAGCGTCAACGATAATCAGCTTGGTCACAGGATGATCTTTTGGTAGCAATATAGGGTGTCTGGTGTCGTATGGAAGTTCTCTGGCGAATCGAAGGCGACCGTCAGCTCTGAGAAGTCCTTCCTCATCTCGTTTAGGATTGAAGTGAAGTAATCTTTTGTCCTTTTCTCCATCGGGAAATGCATCAATCTGTGCTTGTCCTAACCAAAATCGTTCTGCTTTCTTCATCTCGTCTGGTTGAAGAATTTTAGTAATGTTTCTGGATTCTTTTGACAATCTACAGTTCCCAACAAAACGCTTGATCCAAGCCGTCGTGCGGTATAATTTGGTGAGGCTGGAAAACTTACTGGGGTCGAGCAGTTCAGTCTCAATCGTTACATGCGAACCTGTGTGGTAGGTCTGTTCCTTTCTGCGTTCGACGTCAATTACAATTGAGCTCGCGTCAGCATTATTGTTGGGCAACTTCTCTGGCCAACACGACTCGTCGCTCTTTAAGAATTCTGGGCCTTCAATCCATAATTTACTTTCTGTTAATTGAGACGCTGTAAGACCTCTAGTCGGTAGATCTGCTGGGTTCTCTTCCCCTGGGATATGACGCCACTCTTCAGGGTCGGTTATACGTTGAATTTCCCCTACTCTATTTGCCACGAACGGTTTAAATGAACGGCTTTTACTGCGTACCCAGTACAAGACATTGGTTGAGTCCGTCCAGAAAGTTGTCTTGCCAACGGTCAGTGTTTTTCTAATGTTCCTCGCCAATCGGGCGGAGAGTATACCTCCCATAAGCTCAAGGCGTGGTATTGTAACAGCTTTAATCGGCGAAACACGGCTCTTTGACGCGATGAGATAGCATGTTGGGTTTTGGCAGTTGTACTTACAAAGCAAATAGGCAGCTGCAGCATAGGCATCTTTGGAAGCATCTGAGAATACGTGAAGCTGTGTTTCGATCGGATCTGGCAGTCGTATACAACGTGGGATATGAAAATTCGACAACTCGCGAAGTTCATTGATCCAAGCGTTCCATTTTGTCTTTAAGTTATCTGGTAAAGTGTCATCCCAATCTAAACCAGCAGTCCAGATTTCTTGCATTAACACTTTGGCTCTTAGAGTAAATGGTGCCAATAATTGTAGAGGGTCGAAGAGGGTCGCAATCGCACTCAATACGTTTCTCTTAGTTGGGTCCTCTTCTTTGGGTTGCTTGACTTTAAAGGTAAATGCATCTTCTTGTGATTTCCATAACACACCCAAGGTTTTTAACGTTGGAAGACTTTTATCTGTAATTTCCACTCCGGGCAAACGATTGTCAGTTGGAATTTCTTCAATGACTTCTACTTCGTTTGACAACCACTTTCTTAAATCAAATCCAGCTCCGCTAAGCATGTCTGAAAGCTCTCGTCGTAATTTCTTGGCTTCTTGTGTTGTCTCACGAGAATCGAGTACGTCATCCACGTACATGGAGTTCTCCACGGTATCAGCAGCCTCCGGGTGTGTCTCAGCGTGTGAACGTGCGTGGGAATGTAGGATATATTGGGCACAAAAGGGAGATGCTGTATTTCCAAACGGCAGACGTTGGAACTCGTAGACATCTGGGGGTTTTGACTGGTCAAAATTACGCCATAGGAATCGGTGATACGGTCGATCCTCTTCTTTGAGCTGGACTTGCAAGAACATTTGAGAAATATCGGCTGATATTGCAACTGGCGCGCTACGAAAACGGATTAATACGTCCACTAGATCTTGCTGGAGTTTTGGCCCGGATAGTATGGCATCATTTAAACACTTTCCCTCGTCTTTCGCCGCGGCATCATACACAATACGGACTTTAGTGGTGGTTCTGTCTTCTTTGATAACAGGAAAGTGAGGAAGAAACCATTGTTCTTCATTTGTCAAAGGCACTTTGCGAACATAGTTTTTATCAACATAGTCCTCGATTATCTTATTGTATCCGGTTGCAACTTCCGATCCTTTGTTCATCAGTGACTTCTCTAAGCTTTGCAATCTTCGATGTGCCATCTCGAAATTATTTTTGAACTTAGGTTCTCCAGCTTTCCAAGGAATCCCAATCTCATATCTACCATCTTTGGCTACCCGTGTTTCTTCAGCAATCTTCATTGCAGCTAACTCGTCCTGGGTCCAAGTTTGGCTATCTCCGTCTTTAATTCCTATAGCTTCAAGTTCCCAAAACTTTCGTAATAAGTCATTCGTTTCTTTCACATCATCATTGGAACTTCGATATGTACGAGTTGAATGATGGGAACGCGACTTGCACGGCCGGTTTGAGACAACGGTCGGACCAAAACAAACCCAACCAAGGTTTGTTTGTCTAGCAACAGGATCATTAGTCTGAGTCCCTTGAACTTCTCTCCGAACTTGATGAAATACCGGATGGTCGCTACCGATTAATAAGTCGATTTGCGGTCGCTTTGCAACATTTTGGAATGGGATATGCTTCAGATGTGGCCATTGATTCTTTATTTCATTCCATTTAATAGCTGGAGTGTTACCTGTTATGTCCTCAAGAACATTAGCTTCCAGTGGTGCACAAAAATCACCGCTCACACTAGCTATTGACAGTTCGACTCTTTGTGACAATTTCTTTACTTCTGTTCCAGCAGTTCCCGAGATAGTTAAATTCTGCATTCGGCCTTCAAGTTGCAATTCTTCGGCTGCATTCTCTGTAATGTATGATCCCGTCGAACAAGGGTCAAGCATGACATTGACTCTTAATTTTATCGGTCCATTCATAACATCAGCTGGTAAAACCATTAGTGAGATATTCTCAACTTGATTTGCGGCATAAGTCTTAATACTGTTCTCATTGGTTTTGTCTTCAGCTGCAGGTGATTCTTTGTCTGCTAGTTCCCCATTAGGTTTCTGTGATGCTTTTGCCCCTTTACCACTTGTGTATCGATTAGAGTCATGCAAGAAGTTGCTGTGTCCACTACTCTCACAACCGTCAATGCCACATTTTTTACTTCTAGGGCAGTTTTTACTCCGATGGCCTGCAGCTAAACATCTGAAACATCTACCAGTTTTGGCTATAAGTTCTTTGCGCTGGGTCACGGAAAGTTCCTTGAACTTTGAACACACCCATGGTGGATGATCTATGGTGCACTTGTCTACTATACACTTTCTACGACTACCCATTGTGTTGAAGCCTCTGTTGAATCTCTTGTCTTGTCTCCTCTTGTTAAACTCTCCTGTCTCTTCTAGTGCCTCGTCCATGATTTGTACTCTTGTCTCAATCCATTGCACTAACTTTTCAAAGCTGTCATCTTCCTCATGTTCATATAACCAATACTTGTATGCTCTAATGTCTTCTTCTGGGAGTTTTTCCTTTACTGTAAGGTTAAGGTGTTGACTTCGCATCTCTCCGTCTGGATCACCATCTTGAAGGGAAATGAGAATTCTGTCTAGAACTGCTAATAACTCTTCCATGTCCGCAAGGTTATGTCGACGCACCTTTGGCAGCCCTCTGAGTGTTGTTAGATGGGTAAGGGTTTGTCTTCGCTTACCGCCATATTTCCTTTTCAGTTTTTCCTTTGCTCGTTCATAGGCATTGTTTGAGAAACCAAAATCTCTCACCGTCTCTAGGGCTTTTCCATTTAAACATCCTTGAAGTCTTAGCATTTTCTCTTTTACAGGGATATCAGTTTCATCTACTACCGAAGCAAAAGCGGCATACCATGGTTCAAACTTGGTCTTATCTTCACCAGAGAATGTAGGTAGCTGGACACCTTTCAGCTTGACTTGCTTTAATCGAGGTTGGTGGTTTACCGGGAATTTCTGGGTTGGTGTTGTAATCTCTTCATTAGGGGGTGATGTTGTCATACCAATTTTTGTCTCTTGTTCTTCTTGTAAACTAGCTTTGAATTGAGGTTGCGGGTTTACTGGGTTTTCGTGGGTAGGGGGTGGTGTCTTCTCACCCATTATAGTCTTTTGTTCTTCTTGTAGACTAGCTTTTGCTCTTCCTTCATTTAGCGAAACAATGGAACGAGCATCTTCAATTATTTTCTGGTTCTGTTGAAACACGTTTGTCTTTTTATTTATATCTTCTTCAAGTGCTAATTGTTCTTGTTCAAGTCTATTTAACCTTTCATGTGCTTCCTTCCACTCCTGTTGTCTTCTCATAGTTGATGATATTTTTGAAGCTTTTGAGGTGGTTGTTATTGATGAAGCCTTACTATAACAGTCTGAAGACACTTCTGAATCTTTTTCTCCATTAAAAATTCTTTCATCTAATTGGTCATTGGCACGTTTGATATGTAAATCAGTTTCATTAGCTAGCTCAGTTAGTTCTTTGTCTAAATTGTCAATAATTTTATCTGCATCTGTCTCTTCGTCTTCACTGACTGCAATGGTCGTTTTAATGGATGTAATTATTTCTTCAATAATTCTATATTCAGACCTTACCTTTTTTATAGTTCGTAGAATACTTGTCTTACTGCTACGGTTTCCTGTTTTATGGTCATACACTGATAATAATTCAGTAAGATGTTTTTCGGCGTTGTTTAGTCGTATAATTCCCGAGTTTTTTCGTCTCTGAAGCGTTCTATATCGTTTGCTGCTGTCACTTACTTCGCTTGCTGGTCTTTTGGTCACAGAATCGTCTTTCGAATTCACACAAATGTCAATTTCCTCGTCTTTTTTTGCTCCCAAGTTATCATGTTTGTCGATGTCGCTCATCATGTCCGCCAAATGTCACGTATTTTTAACGCTAAAACCTTGTTTTATTCATAGATCGATCCGGCTCGATAGGACCACTTTGTTCTCGTAACTAGAACTGTCATGATTAATCATCGAATAAAACAAATGAATTTTTAGGATTTAATATATAACGAAAACTATAAAATGTTTTATGCATTTTCTACATGTTTTTCTTGTCACCATGACAACCGTCCTCTCTCGCCAGTCTTTTTGCTCGGTCAAACTTATATTACGTCATAACTTTAAGTTAATATATTCAGAAACAATATATAGTCCATCAATATAAAGATAGGTATCGCGAATGTTTTACGCTAGAGATGTCACACTTACTGTTGATTTATAGCATAGTAATATAACATCCGGTTACTTTCGCAAGCGGGTAAAAGCTGAGTCAACTGCTATTTCGGGTACTCCGAAGGTAAAGGACGTTTGCTTTATAATCACATCTTTCTAGAGCTGAATTTGCATATATAATTGTCGACGCATGGGTAGAAAGGAGCACTAAGTAGGTGGGAATGTCGGAGGCTCATGGAAAGGGGTGTAGTCACTTCCACACGGCAAAATAAAATGTCCACAAGATCAAGGTAGCGAGCTATCGGAAAGCTCGAGAAGAGTAAATGTGGCATTTAATTGAACTCAGTTCCGCAGACAATCTCAAAAATTACTATTCAGCGTATTCGTACGTGGTAAAGGAAGAGCCGGACTAGGTGATTTCTCCAGCTAGGGCTTATAGACCTCCCCAATACTGACGTGTTAGCGAGTACTAGCGCGATCCGCCGAAGCAAGAAAGTTGCACAGGCTTCTAAAAATATGTGACGAAAGGGACTCGCAGTATACGGCGTTGTACGCATTATACAACACTGACGTTAGTGTTATACGCTAATTATGCTAATAAGCGTTTCCGGTCGAGACGAATGCGATGAAACTAACATCGGTTGACACTTCGATTGTCACTATAGAAATATGAAATAACAGGGAACTAAACATCTTTTAAAACGGAACAAGGCTACGAATAATCTGTTGAGAATGTCTAACAATATATTTGCTATTAGTGAAAGGGTTTGAAATTGATTAAACCAAGTTTTGGATCGACTGACACTTTTTTACATAAATAAATCTGATATATCATGGTGATATTTCTAGAGTTGAGTGTCAATCGATATATTTTATACAATTTATATACTTTGTGATTAAGTAGAACCCGTAATATATCAATAAGCGCTCCCTAAACACGTTTGCTTAGTACTAAATGTTCTGAAAATGATTATGCCGCGACAATTGAAAGTTATATCAATGAAAATGCTATGTGTTTCAAAGTGACAATCGAGTGTCAATCGAGCACGTGTTCGAGCCGTTTTATATTACATACATGTTTTCATGTCAAATATGCACAAGCTTTAAGTGGTCTTCGATAAGTTACCCTTGCATTTTATTTAGCTTTAACCTAGGTCGATAATTAATCAGATAGATGTGTTTTCTCCCTTGGATATAGACCAGGTTTAATCGCTCGGCATACTACCCTCCCCACACTCACATCTTTCAGTATAAGCTCACTTATAATATACTGCTGGATTGTGTTACATTTCAAAGATATTGACCACAACCGAAGCACAGTAAGGACGTTACATATGCCAATGCAATTCAGTAAACATGTTATACTAAATGCTCTATGATTTTCGCGAAACTGATATTCGAAAACACCCGGTAATTCAAAGAGGTTAAATATGCCTTTCATTGTCTTTCAGGCAACCGGTTTCAAAAGTCTTGGGACAGATGCGACAAAACCTTTGAATTTCAACAAACGTCAATCCACCCCGCCCCCTGTTCAATGTTGTGTCCCATTTCTCGTCAGGTTTGATGTGTTTTGGTTGGAGCAACATTGATTGGGGTGGGGGGAGGGGGAGGGGAGCGGTATTGTGTGTAAAAACTGTAGTGATCCAATTACAATCTAAAACTACATGTGTCCCAACAACTTCTGAAAGTGATTCGATAAAATTTTTCAACATTCAGAAGCGCACATGCTGTAGAAATGGCAACAGAAATCTCAGCATATAAATAATAGATATAGTATAAATCAAACGCTCGTTCACTTGCCGCCATATTTGTTTAATTTGTTATTCACTTATTCGAGCGGCAGCATATTTAGCGTATTAATTTTATTGCATAAATTATTTTCCCAAAAATCTGGAAACGGACTGAGCCGGCGTAGCAAGCTTTCGTTCGAAGTTGTGGAGTTCTTACTTCCTTTGAAAAATTGGAGAATATTTTGCAAAATGTACGAAAAAATTAAGGGAAAATTAGCGAATGACAGTGCGTCAACGAGAAAGGAAAAGAAAATAGCCAATGTTTTTGGGAAAGGAAATATTAATTAGTGGCTGAGACGAGTAACAATGCGGCAAAATTTCACTTACATCCCTCCATAAAACAGGGATGGCGGTGCCCATGCAAAGTCGTCTGCAACGTCCCCCCCCCTTCCCAAGCGCCCGGCGATGGAGGGCGTGGTTTTTTTCGCGAGAAGACATTTATATGGATTTTCTTAATTATCATATACTATAAAGACATGCTATACTTCCGGTCACACCCTTTCAGAATAGAATTTGAAACAGAACAGAATTTGAAGCAGAACAGCAGGGGCGGATCTAGGGGTCGTCAAACCAGTCACGCGACAAACGTAAAAATTACAAACTTAATTAAAGTCTGATTAAAGCATTAAATATTCGACCAATAGTCCAGTTATTTTTTATCATGCAGTGGCACTTTATAGTAGTCCAGTATCTATTATCATGCAGCGCTAGCAATTAACATTCCAATTGAACTGTAGTCCAGTGATCAAATTTCATACAGTGGCTGAGCCGACAAGCTTAGTCAAGTCAATGAGCAGTTGACATACGCAAAGTCGGTCAGTCAAAAAGTCAAAATCCAGTGTTCTGATTGGTCTAGACGCTTGTTGTTTCCATGGAAACAAGCGATTGTTTACAAATTTGACTGATCTGTGGGGAGTTCTGACCGATTTACAAAAGTCAGGGGCGTCCCATTAGTCTGAATATCATTAATATTATATTTCACGCGTGGTAAAGTCCGTCCGAGCGCGCGCTCATTCGAAGTGTCATGTTGGAGCTTTGTCGAAATATTCAATTTAAAGATATATATTTACGGAAAATTCAGAAATGTCTGCTGCTCCCATCCTTGTAGTATTCATGAAACGGTTGAATCCGCATTTGCGGTGAATGATTTAGCTGTCTTACAAAACTGTTGCGCTGATCTTGGGAGGAAAATCGACGCTAATTATCGGAGAGTTCGATTCAGTGAGCAGTTGCTAGGCGCTATGAGCCTATGAGCCTATGAGTAGCACGAACTACAGTTTGACTGCTTGAGCAGAAGTATTGGCGCCGAGATCTTTATTCTGAATTACAATAAGGTAAATTTAATGTGATATGTAAATTTTATTTCGTTTTGGACAACATAACAATATTTATAAGCGAACAAGATGCACGCCACGCATATGTAAATACGCGTATCTTGATTTAGCCATGAATTTTGATTTACACAACAAATTTGCATATTTGTGCGGTCGAAGGACCGTCAGAACTCAGGAGGCTATTAATATTGAGGATAACCGATATAAATGCATTAATGCAGCATACATAGGATCTAAAGGTCAGGTTTTATTGATGAATGTTCAAACTTTAATATTGATATATGTTTATTTGAGTAATATGACACTGTAGTGATTACTAGTCAAGTGATCAATGACTCAACAAGGCTATTAGGCAACATAAATGAGTGTAATACCACCATGAGTTAGTTAAACATAACACTAGCAATCCGTAATTTGATAAAATGAAACATCTTCCACACTTATCACATTTCTGCAAGTACTTCTCTTTTAAATTTCCCTAAGGAGCGAGTTGTGAGAGTCAGTGAGACTGTAATTTCTATAATTATCTCCCAATTCATGAGGTTAATTTTTTGTTGAAGCTGCTTTCAGAGTGCTGCAAATGGCGTTTCTGAGGTTTAAATATAAAAAATTTCCTCGGGACAGACACCCTGGGGGACAGACCCCTAGGTGCCTCGCGCATTCACCGCTCGCAAAACTAGATTGTACATCTGAAAATTTTGACTTTGCAAAACTAGATTGTACATCTGAAAACTTTAACGTACGAAAAATCCTGGATCCGCCCTGCAGAACAGAATTTGAAACAGAACCGAATTTGAAACAGCAAAACACAATTTGAAACAGCAGAACAGAATTTGAAACAGGAGAACAGAATTTGAAACAGAAGAACAGAATTTGAAACAGCAGAATAGAATTTAGGATTTGATGTTGAATTCTGTTTTGTTGTGTTCTAAATTCTGTAATGTTTACAGTAGTTATATCGTGTTATGTTTCTCAAATTCTTTTGTGTTGTTCTAAATTCCGTTCTGCTGTAAATTCTATTTTGTAGCCCCCAATATTGTCCTGCTGTCGTACATTTTGTAATGCATGTTGGTTGTAAAATAGCCATTTTGTAGAACAGAATTTAAGTTGACTGGAATATAATTTAGAAAAGCATTTTGGTGTTAATGACGCCTGATACGTTAACACCCCCAATATTTTTAAGTCCAAAACGTTGCTCAAAATAGAAAATATTTGATCAAAATAGTTGGTTACTTTTTAAACAAAATTTGAAAAGATAAAAGTGCGAATATATAGAAAATCAAATTACGTATTGAGCAAAATAGCACAAATTACCGTACCTTAAACAGAAAGAAAAAACCCCAAATGTTTTAAAACCAACGCCCCCACCCCGAATTCGTTATCGCCCTTGCTTTTGCTATACTATTTTGTTGATTAACGCCGTTTGATAATTGTAGAATAATACCAACACAGAACACCAAACACAGAAAAAAATCAGGATTATTAGATTACATTGATATCGAAGGAACAACATTCGGTTCCGAAATATCACATACTCGAACAGACCTGATAGACGGCCGGCCAACTTGCGAAATTGTTATCGGTGATGGCATTTTCTGTTACAAGCAGCCAACAATGCTAGATAATTTCCAATAGACACAATCTTTAATATTTTGCTTGTTGGCACCTTTGATTCAGAGTTTTAACGGAGATATTCGAAGGCTTTCAACTGCCAGTTCGTGGCCATCAAATACATTGTTCGCCATTGTGAAATGCACTTCTTTGTTGCTACGCAACAAGTTCTAAATTGTGATTGGTCACCTACGTTCTGATTAGTTTCTTTTAACCAATCAGCGCTAACAAAATGTCATGCCTGGAAGGTAAACAAATAAAAACTATTGATGAACAAGATGAACATTGTATATTTTTGCTGTTAAAAGTAACACAAGACTACAGAAATAAGGTAAGTTACTGTAATATTACTTTATAATAACATTACTTATCATGTATTACTGTCTGTTTATAAAATAATGAATTTTTATTGCTATAATTCGCTGTTCAATCCGACAGAACACTGTTTGATAAAACTTGATCGATAGACGACGAAAATGGGCTTCATCCATATTAGTCTATGTACTTTATCAAAGGTAGACAATATAAATTCGTAGACTAGTTTAGCTCTGTTGGCTTAAACACAATTATTGAATTGCAACGACAATATAGAATCAATTAAGTATTGAAATAAAATTTTGAATAATACATAAAAGTTGAAATATTCGAATTGAATAAAAGACTCTTGCTTATATTTAATTTCGTTCATGCTTATACTGTATGCTTTATGCGTGGTCTATAATTTGGTATAAACTTCAAGTATTTGGAACAAGGATAAACTGACAATTGATATAGCAAATATACAGTTAATTTTTTTAAAATTCTGTGTTTGCAGTGGCTTTTTAAGATGATTTTCTGAGTGCATGTTGTTTTGCTACACGTATGGCGAAATAATTTCAGACTATTCAGTTCATGTCCATATTATTTTGGAAGTTTATATTTATATTTGATGCACAACCAAGCGCTTTATCTTTCTTTACAAGTCATTGTAGATCGACAAGTTTAACATCTTTCCTTGTCCATTTGCTGTACCAGAGTTTAATACTTCGTTACAATAGATTTGTCTGTCCATCTGGTGGTCGTTTCATAGTTTCATGTCTTTTTAGTTGCTATATAACCATATTTTTTCCATTGGTTGAGTTCTGTAACAATGATCTGATTCAACTGTTAATTCACTGTATCAGAGTATTTCATTTGGTGGCCAGTACATTGTAAAGGGCTGTCTTGAGTTGCTCAATACCATCTTGATTTATGGTTGCTTTCTGAGACAATAATTCTGATTCGAATACATTGGTATTGGTCGTCCATTAGATTTCTTTAATTTAGAGATTATCACTTGCATGGTTTCTTCTGTTTAATCTGTATCATTTCTTATACATAGTAGACAAAACTATTTTCCAGAAATGCCAATCTAATAAACATATAGTCCTTTAATAAAAAAATATAATCAGCTTTTCAATTGTCAGTTTCACTAGCCAGGTCCATGCATGTGGACAAATATAACTCATTGAAAATCATCGAACAAATGTGTAAGGATTAAAACTTTACTAAATGGCATTTGAGTGTGCTTCCATTGAAACAAAAATGTCATGCTTTGATAACCAACTATAGTCTATAGGATGGTAGCCCATTGACTATAAAATTATATAACTTTTATTAATAATATATTAAGTTCATGTTTAAGTCTATATCATTTGTAACACATGCTCTTCACATGAAATCCTCATTCATCAAGATAACTCTTCATCATGACTTTGATGTCTAAAAGAATGGCAAACTATACAACAAATTAAGTAGGTACAAAAACAATATCTCATGTATAAAGTTCTTTCATTGTTATACATTAGAATAATTAGTTAGTGGAAAATTTTAAGAAATTAACTTTCTGGTAGCCCAATTGGATTGTGACAGTCTTTCACATTACAGATACAAATCGGTGTACATTGCTGTTGGCTTTTGTAGCATTTACATGCTCCAGTTTTGCATTTTGTTTTGCAACCACAAGAGATAAGGGAAAGACAACATGTTGGTATGCTTGGAAGAGTTGTCCAGACAATTTCCAGATTGTCTAAAGAATCAGATGCCTTCCAACCTCCAGTCACAACTGGTAGAGGGAGTTCCTGAAACTTAACAGTGGCTTGTAACCAGACATTTGCCTGAAAATTGCATCTTGTTATATGCAGGCCTAAAGAATTTTTAGTTGGTGGCAATTTCTCAAGCTCTTTGTTACCTCTCTGAAAAAGATCTACTCTGCATTGGTTTACCCCAGCTAGTGGATCTGGTGCACAATACAACCTGCAAACAAATTCTTCTACATCCTGAACAAAGCAATCCCTTCCAATGCCATAGAGCAAGTGAGGGTGCTCTTCAAAAACCTTCCAGCATTTCTTTTTCCCGTAACCACTAAACGAAGAAGTTGTATCACACCCAGTGAATGCGTGAAAGCCTAATATATTCTGAATTACTCCCTCAGATAGCTTATCTGTAATACTATTTACGGGAAAGCACTTTTTTTGCTTTGCATTGCCACCAACCATCCAAGTTTCAATTTCTTCATTTTTTCCAAAAAAATGAATTAATAGCAAAAGAACATCGGTATCTCTACACAACACTATGATTCTGTTAAAATTATTAGCAATCGCTTCATGTGCATGCAGAATAAGTCGGGTATCTGCTTCCTCATGATTGTTAAATAAGTTAGGAACCTCACCTCTTTGTGTTGAGCATGCCTTAGTTGAATCCACATACCCACCACTTGTTACCAACTCATACTGGTGACTAAATTCCATCCCATGGCTCATAATGTATTCAGTAAGGAACCTAGCAAGATCTGCTTTATTATCACTTAATGCTACAAAATTTGCCCACACCTGAGGAAGACTTAAATCACCACGGTTAATAATTTTACGAACTGGTCTCTTTTTTATGCCTCTTTTAGCTCGAGTGGCTGATTTAATTGATTGTTTTACGTAGGTGTCAAAGACAACATCTACTCGTCTAACATGTTCATCAATATGTGCCGTGACAGCTCGAAAAAAGACTCTGGCATAGTCATCAAAGGTCCTACAGGTTTGAGGTTTTCCAAGAGCTTGAACTAAAGCATGACCATCTATTAAAACACAAGTGTTTTGATGCATGGTTGGTGCAGGAATTGTGTGAGGGATTGTTTCCCCATCCATCAAAATGTTAACCAAATCTGACTTAGTTGTTGAGTTAAGAGTGCCATTTACCTTTGCTAGAGAAAGAGGAACATTAGAAAGCTCATGTTTAAGAATATCATGCATATCAATGTTACGACCTGCTAGGGATACTGTTAGAAGACGTTGTAATAATTTCCTATCAGCCTTAATAACTTTTTTCTCATTCTGTATGCTAATAGAGGAAGCATACAATGTGGCAAATGTTTTTGATTTGTTTTTTTTTATTGGATCAAAAAAAGGCATATCCTTCCTTAACAGCCATTTACCTATGTTCTCTAGTACCATCTGTTGCCCTCGTTGCTGTGCTGTCAACATATCATGTTGTATATCACCAGTTGCAACATCATTGGTTGCCAGAGAAGTTAACTGATGCATATCTACATCCATCCTTTCCCCCTCATTTTCTACATTTTCAGCAATTTCTTCAAGGGCAACGTAGCCATCAAGAGGATCAAATGTATTTATCTTAAATACATTAAATCTTAAAAAGAGTTCTTTCAAGTCACTGACTGCATTTTCATCAACACTCACTCTGCCTGGCTGTGCGTCCTTCCTGGTAGAAATTGTATCATTTGCATCATCATCTACACCAAATAACACTCTAGTAGAGTGAGAAATATATGAACGTTCTGCCCATGTTATGCAGAACTTGTCCCTAGCAGTATCATTCCTAGTTATTCCTATAATGCCATTTGATATTTTGCAGATTTTGTTCTGCCATTCAGTAGCTTGGTCGAGAGGTATCTGATTAAATTTTAGTTGACTCCTCTTAACTACAAAGTTTCCATTCAGAAACTCCTCATAAACTAGTGTATGTGTGTTTTGTAAGTTTTTCATTTCACACAAGTAAACAGCACCCCACCTAGCATAATTTGTATGGTCATAGATTGTCATCCATGGAAGCATTGCTGAAAATGAATCTAAGTGAAGGGCCCAGTTACCCTCCCGATTAGCCCTGATAAAGTCTAGCAATGTTTCAACCATCTTCATGTATGACCTCCAAAGAACAAAATTGGGTAAATGCTGCAGTGTATTATCAAATTCATCCATCATACCTAAAACATCATGCGTCTTTAGAGTAGTGACTAAACAATTTACTGCTTTAACTGCTTCATCATCAGAATTTCTGTGACTGAATGCCTTTACTATTTGATCTGTCATTGATTTTAAATTAACCTCCCTTTCATTAGATGTTAACCAAGAAGTAAAATATTGCCAATAAATTCGACTTAAAGCTTCATATGTTAATAGATGACCTCTTACAGCTCGATAATATTGCTTCCCTTCTAACATTGCACCAGTAGTATTTTGCGCAAAAACACCAGACTCAACCCATATATCTGCAAGCCCTGAATTTTCCATATGTTGACCTATTGCTTTAAGAAAGTTAAAGAGAACGTGCAAATGGCCCATAACCAAAACTACATTCTGATATTTTTCAGGGTTGGCCCAAATAATTTCCTTGCCTCTACTGTACAAAGGTTGATCTACTGCTATTACAGTATTTGGCTGGCCAAGATGTTTAGCAATTGATGTAAAGCGGTTAAGTATGGTTGTCATGGTATTATTATCATCTGCAGGAGCCTGAAGTATAGGCAACATACCAGGCGTAGTAATGGGTGAGTTAACTAAGCTAATCTTCTCATTAAAAGCAGCCCAAGCTGGCACCATTTGTTGAGAGGTTTGGCACATACGTGCTATTATCCATGCCATATTTTTCATTTTTGACTCAACCTGATTATTGCTTTTATTAAACCACTTTTCTATTTCTAGGTCAGGAGGAAGGTTACTAACTGGCTTTGGCCTTTCACCAACTGGCATGCTGGCATGATCTAACTTATGGAATTGATCTAAGCTATCTCTTGTTATTGTTTTTGCCCTGTTGATGTGCTTATTATCTATGTCAGACCTTATATTTGCCGGGCCTCTTTGCCACAGCATCATTTGCGTGCAATGAAATGTGTTTTTTCCATCTATTGTTTCCTCAAGCACATCAATATTATCACATGAGGCTAGAACAATACGGCTAGGGGAATATGGCACAAGCTCATTTGGGATATATATATGCCCATTTTTGTTAAACCTGTCGATTATATCTGAAGCTATTGTAGTATCAATTCTTCTAATTGTATCCATCCCTATTGTATGTCCTGCTGCATGAAATAAATCAACAAGCTTTTCTGACCTAGTTGCCTGGTGTAGTGTAAGCCCTAGACCAATATGCTTTGGGGTCAACTTTCTCTTTCTAGAGGCTAAGTAAAATACATCCTGAGCAATGCTAGTGATATGGTCATCTAATTTAGATGATCTTTCTTCTAATATATCTGTTCCCCCGAAAAGAACTGAAAGAAAAGTATATAAGCTTTGGGGAATAACCTTAGCAACATGTTCCTTATCTAGCCCACACCATGCAGCACTATGACCTGGTGTATTTTCCAAATCATTCCTAATGGTCATAGCTGTATGGACTAATTCTAGCAGGGCATTGTCTTGGAAGGGAACAAGGTGATCTTCATTACCAAGATTGTCTTCATCATCATTACTCACATATTCTAGGTGTTGTGCTACAGCAAAATCAGTCTTATTGTTGGGGTAAACAAGGAGGTGAGCCTTAGGATCTATGGGTCTAATAAAACCAGCCTTTTCACCAATTAAATTTTGGATGTCATTATAAAATGATTGCCTCCTTGTTATGTATTTCTGGGGGATTTGCATGTTTAGATTAGAACACAATTTCTTATAGTGAACCCAGATATTTCCCATATCATACACATGACCAGAGTTTAACCCTGTTAGAATAGCAGAACAAAGTATATCAAGGGATTGGTCACTATTCCTAGGATCCACAGTTTTCAAATTAGATGTAGTAATTGTTCTCTGGAATTTAACCCAGCACTGTACATGATATTTCCCCTCTGCAGCCACTAGGTCACATACATTTGCTAGTCTCACACGCATAACAACATCTTGTTTTGCCATTGATAAAATTTTATCTGACAGTGTCATCGTCATAACATTTCTGAGGTTTTTGCCTTCACTTGTTTGACAAAACATACATATTTCCCATTTTATGTTATGCTCATGTCTGCTGCGTGTGGAGGCCTTATGTGCAACAGTATTACTATTTGAAGCTTCATGGACTGTTTTTATGCCCTCTTGTTTCTTCTCAAGCCTATTTAGCATGCCTATATGGGTGAACTTGCTATAACAAGAACGATGCCATTTTAAATCATCTAAATTTATATTTTCACCGGTACCAATGGTAGCAAGTATCCTTTCAATAACACCTAGGGAACTTGTATCATTCAGAGATTTTCTTTTTAGGGCAACCTCAACAACCTTGCTTTTCCCTTCCTCTGTTGCACTACTCAAGCCACTGCCTGCTGCAGTCTCACTGCCCTCGCAAAAGAAACACTTGGAAATCTCTGAATCTCTCTTAACCTTTTTAAGGACAGTTATTGGATCTATTTTCGGATATAAAGGTCGTTTTGAGCTAGACTCATAACTCATTTTTGCTGCATAAAAAAATATATCCGAAGGAAAACTTCTATTGGCGACTTGATTAGAAGATTGCTTAATGTTGTTGGAAAGAACACATAAACTACTTGAAGCGACAACTGTAAATGTTATCAAAGTGAAAGCGGAAAGATTCATAAGCAAGTAGTACCATAAAAAACTATGAATATTGAAGTGATTTTTAATGAACTACATTATTAAAATAAGTAGAAAAAACATATATACAAACTTTACTGTGTATTCTTTGATGTCTTTGCTTTTCTGGGGTTTTTTTTATATACAAATTCGCTTTTTACAGTGTATTTCGTGTTGAAAACAGTGAAAAAAAAGACCAAAGTTCTTTCGAGTTTGTCGTTGTCAAGGCAACAAGGGAACACTCGCAAGTTGAAGGCAAGCGCTGATTGGTTATTTCGGGAGCTGGGGAAAGCCCAATGATCATTTCCCGCCATTTTTCCTGTGTAGTTTACGCGCTTTCGAGAGGTGCAGAAATCGTAAAAATTTGAGCTTCAAAGGCGAAATCTTTCGTGCCAACAGGCCTAATAAGTTAGGTAAGTGTCTAAACAATATGTCTATATGTTTTGTTTGCTTGTAACACAAAATGCCATCAAAGGTTTTTTGAAGCGAATTTTGTCAAGTTGGCCGGCCGTCTATGACTGCGTAGCTCAATTGAGAGAGCATTGGGATGGTATTCCAAAGGTCGTAGGTTCGATTCCCACCGCGACCAGGTATATTTTTCAAGCTTGTCCGGTGTGGATATACACTCAGAGTAACCATCACAAACATAATCAGAAGCTGTTTACTCATAATCTTCGATCCCCTGCCCGAAAGATGTAATCATATCTAACAAAGTGTTATTTTGTTTAATTTTGACAGCTGATTATACATCTGCTCCAGGATCATTTATATTTTCTCTTCGTAATAATGACGACCTTCTGCCCTTCAAGGCCCCGTTGAAAGATGAAAATGACTTGAATGCAATTTACCGTCAAAATCATTTTGGGCCTATATTTGGTTGGAGTCATGACTTCTACATTGCCGACCATGCGGGATCAAATCCCAACTCCTTCACAAATTTTGGTTACACCTACCAACCTCCACCTGGATATAGTTCCGGCCAAAACAACACAAAATCCCTGCTTGCAGGGAGCTATTACTTTACTCCATCAGAAATCGAAATATTATATTTATATTGAAACTATTCATGCTTACTTCAAGGTAAACAATGTTGACAAACAAGTAGCGATATACCGTAAATGATCTAATGAATGCATGAACCCCCTTGTAAACGCCTCACCTCAACACCTCAACTCGAATGAGCATTTTGTTTCAGTATCTAATAAACCCCCCTGTCTCAAAAGAGGCGTTTATTAGATTACGTTAAATGATTATTAGAATACACACTTATTCCATAAAATTATTTGTACCGGAGTACTCGTTTAAAAAATATATCTACTATTATTCGGTCAAAACATAATCGTTAAATATTATAATTATTGTACCAGGATCGAAATGTAACAATTTAAAATTTATGTATTGCTTTTATTCCATATATTGGGTTTTTCCGGATTTATTTTCTTTATTTGTCGGCTGGTTTCGGCTTTTGACCAAACGTTTAACCTTTGACTTTTGTTTAGGCGATTTCCAAAATGGCTGCTGGAATAAACTGTAGGAAAGCGTTGTCCTCCAGGAGTAATTTTGCTGCATGTAATGTGCCTTGTTATGCTATAAACGCCTTTTCCAACAGTACGAAAGACTCCAGGAGTTTGTTAGATCATTTACAGTAACTATGTTTAGTATTAGGCTTTCCACTGCCTCATACTCAGGAGCTTTATGATTGGAACATGAAGACTATATGGTGAAGGCGAGCCATATTTAGCGAAATCCATGCTCTAACTTGACAAAAAGCACAGCCCGTTTAAATGTTGTTTGAAAATGTATTTTTACTTCTCGATTGAACAAAGAAGTTATTAAACCAACTTTCGCTTAAACGAAGCTAAGCTAAGGTTCTGCTTTTTTTCGGGAGTCAGGATTTTCATCAAAATTTTTGTTCTATATTAACTTGAATATTTCACGTTACATTTAAGTCATATACACAGCATTCGCGTCCGTGTTGTATGATATGATACAAACTCAAGACGGTGGTGGGTGGTTGTATGTCCACAACAACGCGGAAGAGGATGCTGTAAATAGCTTGTGAACGTATAAGGATTTTGACAGTTGTGTTTTAAAAAATCTTCGAAAAGTAAAAAACCCGACGAAATGTTTGATGCAATTAAGGAGAATTTTGTATTTGCGGTACAACACCTCATTGAATATTGATTGAATGTCTTTTATTATAAGACGATGTCTTTTATGATAAGAAGATATTATACTCCATCTAATACAGTGACTAATTGCTGCATTATATACTCCCACAATTTCGTTTATTGTGTATTGTGTTTAAGCCATAATAAATATTCTCGTGCATGATATATATTACACAACCATGCAAATACTAGACAGGCACCAGTCCATCGCAGGGTAGCCTGAAGAGGAACTCTGTTCAAATGACAGTGCAAGTACGCAAATCCATATAGGCCATTCCAATCTAAAGACCACTGAAGCCCAATGAATGATTTTAGTATGTATATAAATCCTGTAGTAAAAAGAAGCAAAAACTTATTTCTGGTCTAATTGCGCCTCTGAAATTTAAAACAAACATCCCTTATTTCACTGTTGTGATATTTTTGTCACATGTAAACTATTATCATGTAACTTTGATTCTTATTTGCACTTTTTCTCTATAATATTATCCAATCATATTCATTTTTAATAATTTATAGATAATTTGTATACCCCGCATAGGTTATTAAAAATCTAGACATATGTTGGTTGCATGGCGTTAAATATATCATTCTTTTGCGTTTGTTGGAAATTTGTTAAAGCAGAACCAAGTCCGGATCCATTCTCCTCATGCATGCGCCTGTTTGCTTTTATTACATTTCTTTTTTCATTGAGACTGAGAGCAGTCTCTCCTTAAAGGAAATGAAGGACTGCAGACAACATATCAAGAAACACAATACGCGTTAATAATATGAAATTGGTCGAAGACCCGTACTCAGGAAATAAAATAACAACATAAAACGCTCTCTGAGTTTCCAGCGATATACATACCCTTTTCTAGATATATACCTAATAATAATAAGCGAACGAACGAATGTATTCCTTCCACTCGTGAGCTCATTTACCATTGTCACAAATAGTAAATGTCCAGGCCTTGTGACCCTGGATGGGCACTTAAAAGGAAAGAATACACACACACAAAGGTTTATTTATTCAACTATTACAAGAGAACGATTGAACAACTGCGCATGAACGAACGTCCAAAGTGAATGCCTCTTGTTAGCCACCTACCAAATTATCATTAGCATAACAATATGTCTCACACAACTCATTTCCTTGTCGTCATATCATAACAAACCATATCAGGAAATATGAATATCAATTACAAACCTTTAGTCAAATCCATGACCTTCAGGAATATTTACCTACAACTGTAGGATTTAAGTGCAAAGCACCAAAAATAATAATATGAAATTGGTCGAAGACCCGTACTCAGGAAATAAAATAACAACATAAAACGTATATATATCGCTGGAAACTCAGAGAGCGTTTTATGTTGTTATTTTATTTCCTGAGTACGGGTCTTCGACCAATTTCATAAGTGCCCATCCAGGGTCACAAGGCCTGGACATTTACTATTTGTGACAATGGTAAATGAGCTCACGAGTGGAAGGAATACATTCGTTCGTTCGCTTATTATTATTAGGTATATATCTAGAAAAGGGTATGTATATCGCTGGAAACTCAGAGAGCGGTTTATGTTGTTATTTTATTTCCTGAGTACGGGTCTTCGACCAATTTCATATTGTTATTTTTGGTGCTTTGCACTTAAATCCTACAGTTGTAGGTAAATATTCCTGAAGGTCATGGATTTGACTAAAGGTTTGTAATTGATATTCATATTTCCTGATATGGTTTGTTATGATATGACGACAAGGAAATGAGTTGTGTGAGACATATTGTTATGCTAATGATAATTTGGTAGGTGGCTAACAAGAGGCATTCACTTTGGACGTTCGTTCATGCGCAGTTGTTCAATCGTTCTCTTGTAATAGTTGAATAAATAAACCTTTGTGTGTGTGTATTCTTTCCTTTTAAGTGCCCATCCAGGGTCACAAGGCCTGGACATTTACTATTTGTGACAATGGTAAATGAGCTCACGAGTGGAAGGAATACATTCGTTCGTTCGCTTATTATTATTAGGTATATATCTAGAAAAGGGTATGTATATCGCTGGAAACTCAGAGAGCGTTTTATGTTGTTATTTTATTTCCTGAGTACGGGTCTTCGACCAATTTCATATTATTATTTTTGGTGCTTTGCACTTAAATCCTACAGTTGTAGGTAAATATTCCTGAAGGTCATGGATTTGACTAAAGGTTTGTAATTGATATTCATATTTCCTGATATGGTTTGTTATGATATGACGACAAGGAAATGAGTTGTGTGAGACATATTGTTATGCTAATGATAATTTGGTAGGTGGCTAACAAGAGGCATTCACTTTGGACGTTCGTTCATGCGCAGTTGTTCAATCGTTCTCTTGTAATAGTTGAATAAATAAACCTTTGTGTGTGTGTATTCTTTCCTTTTAAGTGCCCATCCAGGGTCACAAGGCCTGGACATTTACTATTT